TAAAGGCCTGGAAAGTGGCCGGCAAAGGCGAGGTGGTTCAAGCCGATCTGGATCGGACAGCGTTGTAGAGACAGCAGAGGCTGGACTAGACGGCGGCGTGACAGCTGCGGATGGTGACGCTATCGGTGATGGTGTGAAAGCTGCAGGCATTGGAGCAGGTGTTGGCACTGCTGGCAATGGCGAGGATGAAGACGCAGAGGCTGGACCAGGCAAGACTGATGCTGAAGCTGAAGCTGCAGGCGTGGATGATGCTGACGCTGAAGCTTGTTTGAAGATAAACATTTAATTTATACCACATTAAAGGATTCAAAGCATTTATTGTCATATGTACTAAGAAAGCATTTCTCTGTGCAATGGAATTCTTTCTTTGCTGTCCACACAAAAATGCCGGTTAATATAGGGAAATAGAAATGATAAATAAAAACAGTATAAATAAATAAAGACACAAATTTAAGCTTGAAATGGATGTGTGTTCAAAATATCTATGAGCTTAATGTGCTGGCTTAATGTGCCTGATGTGCACAAATTATTATTATAGTTAAAAATAGGTCAGCTGTCCAAGAGTCTGATAGCAGTGGGGAAGAAGGAATTGTTGAGTCGGAATGTTCTGGATTTCACACTTCTAAACCTTTGTCTCAAGGGCAGAAGAGTGAACAGTCTATGTTGGGGGTGTGTGAAGTCTTTGAGAATGGAGGCAGCTCTCCTTTGGACTCTGTGATGGTAGATGCTTTGCAGAGAGGGCAGCGGGGTCCCGATGATCTTCTCCACAGTTGTTATCACTCTCTGCAGGCATTTGCGGTCCATAGCAGTAGTGCTGCCGTACCATGCAGTGATGCAGCTGGTCAATGTGCTGTCCACAATGCAGCTGTAGAACCTGCTGAGGATCTTGCCCGACGAACCAAATTTCCTCAGCCTCCTCAGGAAGTACAGCCGCTGTTGAGCCTTCTTGACCAGCTGTGTGGTGTTCAGTGACCAGGTGAGGTCCTCAGTGATGTAGACACCCAGGTATCTAAAGCTGCTTCTGCGAACTTCAATATGGTGTTGTCCTTGTTGGATGTGACACAGTCATGGGTGTACAGGGTGTAGAGAATGGGACTGAAGATGCAACCCTGTGGAACGCCTGTGTTTGTAATAATGCTGGCTGAAGTCCTGGTGCCGATCCTGGCGGACTGGGGCCTGCCAGTCAAAAAGTCCTGTAGCCAGTCACAGAGGGTGGGTGTGGGTCGATTGTTGCCAGCTTGTGAGTGAGTTTGTTAGGGATGAATGTATTGAAATTGGAGCTGTAATCAACAAAAAGTACCCTGATGGATGAGTCTTTGTTTTCCAGATGGGAGAGGGAATAGTGAAGGGCAGCAGCGATGGCATCTGGCGTGGACCCTTTGGCCCGGTAGGCATACTGCAGGGGATCCAGAGTGTCTGGGATGTTTCTCTGGATGTAGGCCAGCACCACTCTCTCAAAGCATTTTGCAATGATTGGAGTGAGTTCAACTGGTTTGTAGTCATTTAGGCAGGTGGCTGGGCTTTTCTTGGGGAGACGGATTGAGGGTTGTGGTCTTGAAGCATGTATGGGCCACCTCTGGCAAACCAGATCTGGGCCACCAAAGGGCCGTCATTCTTTGCGGTATGTGGGCCATGAGTAAGCACATTGTGTGGGCCAGATCCGGGCCATACCAATTTTGCTATGTGGGGTTGTACTGTAGACATGACCCAGGGTGTTCTTGTCATGGGTAGGAATGGCCACATGTTGATGATGTTTTGGGTGTACAGTCCATAAGTTGCACTTATTAAAGTCACCAGTGACGATAAAAACAGCGTATAAATGAGTTGTCTCTAATGCGCTGATGACGTCATGGAGTTTGCCGAGCGCTGCTGCGGAGCTAGCTTGTGGCTGAATGTAAACAATAGCCAAAAACACAACTGAGAATTCCCGCGGCAGATAGTAGGGGCAGGGTTTTAGGAATATAAACTCTACGTCTGGCAAACTCTCCTTTTAATTGATTCAAGAAAGAACAAACATACACATATCAGGTATAACATTATGACCACTGATAGGTGAAGTCAATAACATTGGATTGTTTCTTCATTACAGCATCTGTTAGTGGGTTGGATATATTATGGAACAAGTGAACATTTTGTCAAGCCTAAGATTTGAGCTTGTTTGAGAAGGACCAAATTATGATAGTTTGACGACTGGGTAAGAGCATCTCCAGAACTGAAGCTCTTGTGGGGTGTTCCCGGTCTCCATTGGTCATTATCTGCAATGCATTGTCTCATAGTTACCATTTAACAATATACACCTGAGACTAAAGTCCCACACACCAACACAAATCCTGATCCTAATGAGGATTAGTAGTAAGGATTTAGGTATGAACACAAGTTGAAAACACAGAGCGAAAATGAAAACCAGCACAAAGAGACATTTTAAACCAATCACCACAGTGATTCTACTGTAGCAACATGAACACATAGAAATGGATGCTGCCTGCTCATCAGTTTGTTACCTGTTGAAGTTCAGGATTTGGCCGAAACACTGAAAGAATGAACAATTACAAGGAATTGAAGTACTCTTTAAGAACCCAATACACAAACAGATGATAAAAAAAATTTCTAAAAGTTATTCTCTTACATATACACCCACAGGCCATTTTATAAGGTACACCTGTTCAACTACTTGTTAATGCAAACATCTGATCAGCCAATCATTTTTCACCAACTCTAGGCATTTAGGCATGTAAACATGGTCAAGATGACCTGCTGAAGTTCAAAGCAAGTATCAGAATGGGGTAGAAAGATTATTTAAATTACGTTGAACATGACATGGTTGTTTATCTGAGTATTTCAAAAACTGCTAATCCAACAGGTTTCCCACTCAACCATCTCTATGGTTAGCCAAAAGGGTTCCCAACACTGTCCGGAAAAGAGTTAACTGATGAACTAATGAAATGGCTGGTGAGTGTATATGTGTATTTCTTATATATAGTCACTAAGCCTTTAGATACAAAAATATAACAGAATACATGATCAAATTCAAATATGTAACAAATCTGTGTCAGTAAATCATCAACATAATGTTAAAAGGCACCACCAACAAATATGCCCTACAGAATTGCAGAAAGATGCTTACAAGTTTTCAAATGTTTTACATTTTAAAAAGTTTTCTTTATATTTATTGTGTCGTATTCTTTTGACCTTTAACCCTGACTCAACGAGTCAGTGATTCCAGAATAATAGAACAATAAATCTGCAAGATAATGATGATTTGAAGAATACCAAACAGTCTGCAAGCTTACAGCCATACCACTCTGAGCAAGCCCGACTGGTGAATCTAAATTGCCCACAGGTGTGAATGTGAGTGGTTGTTTCTATGTGTTAGCACTGCATCTGGGTGGTGACCTGTACGGGGTGTACCCTGTAGTAGCACACCCCGCAGCCCTGATGAGGATAAGCAGAAGAGAATGGATGAATGTATAAACAGTCTGTAGTGGCTTTGCAAGCATCCTCCTGTGAACCAGTCAATCCATCTACTTAAAGATGCAGAATGCTGTCAATTCCTAAAATTGTTGAAATCAACTAAATATTATCAGTTTTGGGGATTTTTACATCAACAGTGTGGACCAAACACATTACAATTTGTTGGAAATTACAAATTTTAAGACACAAACTAATTGAATGAATCAGAAAATAATGTGCTTATTATCCATTACTTAAAATGTTAGTGGCAGTCCTAAAAATGCACAGACTTTCATATTTATTCCACTTTGTGCTGCAATTCTAAACATTATGTTGCCTTCTTAATAATTGTGAATTATTTTATTAGTGATATTGGCAAGCTTGAAATTCTCTTTAGGGTGTTAGAGGAATTTAGGTTGTTCTGAAGTATGTTTTGCTGTGGGTTCGAGACTGGGGAGAGAGAGTTTGAGGAATCACTAGGCTGCCTGGTGGAACTCCAATCAGTGATTGAGTCTGAAAATTGGGAATTTGGGAATGACTCCAAAGATAAAGATAAAGTAGGGTTTTGAATTCCCTTAGATGACAGCTCATCCTCACTGCCTTTGTGATCCATGGAATAATTCCTAATATCCCGGCGGAATGATTTCTCTGTGTTTGCTTCCTTCTTACACAGAATAATGTAGCACTTTGTGAAGAACTGACAAAACAAGATGCCGTAGGCTGAGATGAGGATAACAACCATCTCCACTGCTGGAATGTACTTGCCTGTGACATTGACATAGACTGGACCAAACATGATCCAGGAGATGAAGTAAATGAGCATTGCAAAAGTGATGAACTTTGCATCATTGTAACAGTCAGGCAACTTTCGTCCCTTAAAAGCAACACCAAAGCAGATGAGAGCCAAAAGGCCAATATAGACTAACATGGCTCCAAATGCAGGAATTAATTTCTCATTACAAAACATCAGTTTCATGTTGTTCTGTGTGATCTCTGAGTCAGCAGTTGGAGGACTGTGTATAAGCCACGTTGTAACAATAACCACTTGACCTGCCATGCAGACTGCAATAATGAGGTAAGGCTTGTAGAGCTTCTTCAGCACACTTTGAATGACCGGGTCAAACTCAAAGGCTAAGACGATCTTAAAGGACTTGACCATGATGCAGGAGACACACAAGGTAAAACTCAAGCCAAACACCACCTGCCGTGCTTGACACTGATAGCTATTGGGTGGACCACCAAATAATATAACACTAGTAAATGTGATCATAAGGGAGAGGAGGAGAATGATGCTGATTGGGCCAACAGATGAGCGCACAACAGGGGTATTCCAGTGTGCAAGGAAGATGATCCCAACAACAATGGTAAGCACTGCTCCTAAAGAAGTAAAAGACAGCAGCACAATAAGATATACATCATCCCATTTCAGAAAATCTATTTTTCTTGGCAAACACTTTGAACTGCCTTTTAGGGAGTAATAGTTTTTTTCACAAGGATTACACTTCTCCGAATCTGAAAAGAAAGAAAACAAGATCATTAGAATATGTAAGTTGGATTCAAGCTCCTTGAACTGTCAATGCAATAGACTGCAATATAAGCATTTTAAAACACTTATTTTGGCTTTTATGTAATTTTACAGTTAACTGATACAAATGGAGTTTACTGGTTTTTTTATAATACATACCAGTGGTATTGGAAAAGGTGTTCTCAGCACAGGGTTCACACTGATAGCAGCAACGAGGCTGGCCCGAAACTGAAGTCTTACTGTAGCCAGGCTGACAGCTGTCTGTGCACCTGGAAGTCACGTTTCCCTGAGAGAAGAAAGAATCATGATTATTTTTTACAGTCTGTATAGTGTACTCTCTTTATTATAACACACAAGTTTTTATATGCTAACTGCTTCTTAAACAACACAAGAACAAGAAAAAAAGAAGGAAGGAAAGTAAAAAAGAAACTGAGGAGCTAATCCAGTACACACAGTCATTCAGTTTTCAAGAAAAACTCCTTAAATTGAGTATTGACATTGATAAATATATGACACATAAAACAAACCTATGTTCTTGCTGATGATAATGGTAATTTTCAAATACTTAGGTTATCATTTTAGTATGCCAATATTAGCACAACTAAGTATGATCAGATTGCCTTTAATTTCATTCACAAAATCAGTAGAGAGACAAATTGTGACCTTTGACAGTGCAAGAGTTAATAATTTAACCCAAAGTCTGTATCAAATAACATGGTAATCAACAGTGATTTCTTTAAATATGAAATATCAATATCAGCATAGCATTAGAGTAATATTTAGTGAATCACCAGAATTGGTAAGATTCATCTTCTACACATCTTAAATATTTTTTTAAATATCAATTCAACATGGCTTATGAATGAACCACCAATGAGTCCAACAATATATTAATCCTGCCAACACTGACTGTAGATACTGTGAATATCTAAAAATAAAAACAATGAATGAATGGAAGAAGAATAAAACAATTTGACAGTGGAGGGCAAGTTATTACTTACAATGTAAATGTAGAAAGCATGTTTTGTTTCCTGCGAGATGAACGTCAGGCTATTTTGCAATATACTGTAGCGAGCTACAATGTCATTTACGTCTAGAGACTCTGAAGTCTGCTTCCATAGGACGATATCGTATTCAGTGTTGAGGTCACCATGGGGATCAAATGAATAGTTTTTCCCATCCATGTGGAACTTTGCCTTCCATAGGGCTCCTCGTAACTGAAATTGCAGTGTGTGTGAAAATATTGATTAAAAATAATGTATCTAAAGTGGACAGGACAAAACATCATACACACAGATTAGGTACAACATTATGACCAGAGACATGTCTTTTCATCATAGGACCTATTAGTGGGTGGGATGTATTAGGGAGCATGTGAATATTTTGTCCTCAAAGTTGATGTATTAAAAGCAAGAAAAATTGGCTAACCGACTGGGTCAGAAAATCTCCAAAACGTCAGCTCTTGTGGGTTTTTCGTGGTCTGCAGTAGTCAGTATCTATCAAAAGTAGTCCAACAATAGAACCAGTGACATGATCATGAGTGGCCAAGGCTGACTGATACACATGGGGAGTGAAGGCTGGTAGAACTACTATATATACCCCATTTCTCCTGCAATCTTTTTTTTTTTCTTGAAGCTCCAGCTTGAGAGTTCTGTAGAGGGAGCTTTAGGGTTCTTGAGGTTTCTGTGCAATATCTTTGCTGTTTCTAGGACTGCATTTCTCTGGACAGAGATCTCAGATGTTGTTCCTGGAATCTGCCAAAGCCACTCACCCAGTGTGGAGGTCACTGGCCCAGCTGAGAGAGGAGCTATATCTCCTAAAGCTTCGTTGATATTATTGCTGTAGATCAAGTGGTGTGGATCAGTGAACTGATGTCTCGTTCACTACTGGCACACAGCTTGATGTTATCCATGTAGAAGAGGTGGCTATTGACTACTCCATTCCATAGTCGGAATCCATAGCCAGTCTTTTTAATGATCTCACTGAGGGGGTTCAGGCCCATGCAGAACAGCAGTGGAGACTTGATGAAAACTTGTGCTATTGGCTTGAAGTTGGTCTCTAGTGTTGTTTCCCCCATCCACATTGTATTCCTGATGAAGGTCTTACTTCATCAGTTCTTAATCCAGACTTTTCAGGATCCATGGCATGGCATCCAGGCAGTGCACAGCTTGGTGAGTATGGTCTTGTCTTATTGGCTGGTAGTTGCATGGGACAGGTCCCTTCTAATGTCCAAGCCTTCGTTTAGCCATTCCAGGTGTCTCTCGTCCATTGGCAGCTGGTTCATTTATGCTGCCAGATGCTCGTGAAGTGCAGTCAGCTTCTTTAGCCAGTAGGCATGAATCATGTCAGGCCCTGGTGCTGTTCAACTCTTCATACTAGGGACCCTTTTTTTAGATGTCTGCATCTGTGATGGTCACTGGATCCTGTTCAGGGAGATGTGGTTTGCTCTTAAATCAACTAGCCACTGAGCCTTTTTTGGGTTGTGGCCTTCCATTTGCTTTATTGACAAGGCTGTGAGTCTTCGCCTTTAAGTTTTTAAGGCCTCAGGTATGCACAGCTTGCTGCAATTTTAGGCACCCCTTTCTTCATTATCACCTTTCTGCAGTCCTGCATCTTGGCCTCTAGTCTCCTTCTCCATGGAGTGTACTGCTCCTTGTGCTGTTCATCTTCCACCCATCTTGTACCAAGCATCTCAGTGATCACTGCTGCCATGGTGTAGATAAGCTGGTTGGTTTTGAGATCTGAGATCTCTGTCATATGTATATATATATATACATATGATAGATAGATAGATAGATAGATAGATAGATAGATAGATAGATAGATAGATAGATAGATAGATAGATAGATAGATAGATAGATAGATAGATAGATAGA